AGGATAACTTTACTGGGCATTAAATTTTGAGTTAACAGTTCGTTTCTTTCAGCACCTGAGAAACTGCCACTTCGTTCAGGTCTCTGTGGCTTCTGATGAGAAATCCTTTCTCATTCTAATTAGGCTCCCCCTGTAGGTAAGTTGTCATCTTCTCTGGGTGCTTTCAAGACTTTTTCCTTTGTCTTTAGTTTTCAGAAGTTTAATTATGATAGGACTTATCACGGATTTCTTCAGGCTTATCCTGTTTCAAGATCACTAAGCGTCTTGAATCTGTAGGTTTATATATCTTGAAACCTTGAAAACTTTTCAGTTATTATTGCTTTGAGTACTTTTATGCTCTTCTCTTTTTCTCCTTTTCTTCCAGATCTCCAGTGGCTTCAATGTTATGTCTTTTGTTATAGTCCCAAAGGTCCTTGAAACTGTTTTTTTTTTTTTCATTCCGTATTCCCAATATAGTTCAGACTGGATAATATATCTTATTCTATTCTTCAGTTCACTGATTCTCTTCTATGCCCCCTCTCTTCTGCTGTTGAATCCACCCAATAAGCTATTTGTTTTGGTCGTTGCATTTTCAATTCTAAAAGGCCCATTAGGTTCTTCTTTGTATCTTCTATATCTTTGCTGAAACTATCTGTTTATTTCTGGAAGCCTTTTATTTGTGTCAAGTGTGTTCACAATTGATCTTGGAGGCATTTTTTTTTTTCCCATGGCTGCATTAAAACTATAGTCAGATAATTTTAACATCTTTGTCACCTCAGTGATGGCATCTCTTGGTTATCTTTTATTATTCAGGAAGTTTGAGATCTTCCTGACACTTGGTATGACAAGTGGTTTTTCACTAAAACTTGGAGAAACCCACCACTAATGTACAGATGATGGCGGTGATGATGATGGTGATAATGATGTTCTGAGAGCTTGGATCTTATTTAAGCCTTCTATTTTAATTGGCTCTTTCTGACTTTGCTTTAGCAGTGGTGGATGCCACCTCATCACTGCTAGGTGGGGGTAGAAATCTTGATCTTCCACTTGGCCTTTGTTGATACTCAGGGTCGGAACAACTCCTTACTTCTGGGCAGAGGTGGGAGATCTACATTCCAAGTGCTGTCCATGGACATCATGGTGTGGGTGGTCTCTTTACCACTGGCTTGTGCTAAAAGTCTTGACTCTTCACTAGAGTTTTTCTGACACCACCAGAATGGAAGGGAAGAGTGGTGTGTCTTTGTTAGGTGGGTGGGGAAGTCGATGTGTTCTCCAGTGACTCAATCATAAGGTATAGGTACAGCTTTATGACTGGCCATCAGCAACGAAAGTCTCAACTCCCTTCCTGGTCTCCTCTGGCACCATCCCAGCAGGAGTGTTGGGGTATCTCATAACAGCCTCATGAATGTGAAAGTTTAGGCTCCCACTGAGCTTTTGCCGGTGTGAGTAGGAATGAGACTACAGTTTTGTGTGTGTGATGTTTGACTGGAGTACTTATTGTCTAAAAGTGTTTAGTTTTGCTAGATTGCCCTTTTCCTGGTCTTTTGACTAGAGATAAAAGGATTTGGGATATAGAGTGAGCTTTTTGGTCTCTGTCATCATTGGCATTTCTGAATTGCCAGCTCCTGCCCCAAGTCTAGGATATATAGATGAGGCAAAAAGGAAACCCCTGGAACTCACCATCATTTCATTCCTTGGATTGCAAAGTCCCTCCTGGGACTGCCTTTTTTTTCCTCCACTTTTCAGAGTATTCTTACATTGCTGTTGTGGTTGATTTTAAATAAATGTATAGAATTCCAGAGTTTTTAGTGGTACTTAGTGGGAGTATGGAAGTGGAAGTCTCCGTATTATACATCAATGCTGAGTTTCTCGCAAGATAGAATCCTGAGTGATGTCATCAGTAATTATCGTGTGCTTTCATATTTAGTCTCAGTTGATGCTCCTCCAGTCACATTATAAATGACCAGGGTAAGACCAGAAGTGGGAGCTACACACTCCTCATTATTGTGGTCACAGCTTTAGCAGATGAACTTGGAGTATTGAGTTGTTTAGAAAAATAACTAGAGGGTTTGGATGAAATAAAGTCAATTGTGAGAATTAACAAATTTATTTTGGTGGTACCACTTTTTACAGTTTTTTAAATCTTAAATTTTGTAACCATAGTAGTTACATATGTATAGATTCTTGTTTAAAAAAAAAAAAAGAGGTGGCTGGGCGCAGTGACTTATGCCTATAATCCCAGTACTTTGGGAAGCCGAGGTAGACAGATCACTTGAGGTCAGGAGCTCAAGACCAGCCTGGCCAACATGGCAAAAGTCTATCTCTAAAAAAAAAAAAAAAAAAAGTTGACGTTTTCAGGAAAAGCCAACGTTCCCCTTTACCCCTTTGGATCCCACTCCTCTCTGCTAGGGGCTGCCTAATGGGCTCAGTTAGAAAACTTCACACTTCAGATCTAGGGTTAAAATTGTTCAAAAAAAAGAAGTGTTCTTATTTCGTGTTCTCACCACGTATAAGACATGCTTTTTGGCATGGGAAAAAATCACATTGAAAAACAGTCTTTGTCCCTAGACATCTTACAAGATTTTTAATTCAATCCAGCAAATATTTATTAAGTGCCTAGGGTGGCCACATGAAGAAGGATATGATATTGTTTCTGCCTTCAAGAAATTCACAATATGGCTGGGGAAATAGATGGTAAAAGAAACAGAAATGCAAGTTGATAAAGTACTAGGGAAAGCAAAAGTAGAATTAATTGAGGCATAGAAAAATCATCTAGGATGAGTAAGACTGAAATTATCAAAGACACATAAAGCAACTTGTGGGAGAGAGAGAGTACACATAGGGAAATAAACTAAAACTAAAATAAAACAAACAACAAAAACATGAAAACTGCCATTGATCTTTCCAGAGAGATGAGATATTACAATTTAAAGAAGGAACAGAATGTTACTAAAATGTAGCAGTCAAAGAATGAAAAAGAGCTCTCATGAATTGACACTATGAAAGCAGAAGGGTTGAAAGGAACTTGATAAATTTCCCAAAAATGGGAAATAATGTGAAAAAATAGAGAAAATACAAAAAAAAATTGAGGATTAGTTCAAGAGGTTCAAATCATAATCATTTCAGAAAGAAAGAATGGAAAAAACAGAGGGGGGGGAGCTATCAATAATTCAAAAAATTTTCCAAAACTGATGGGCATACATTTTGGGATTAAAACAGCACATTCAATAACCAGCACAATGAAAGAAAATAGACCTATGCCAAGTTATAACATTATGAAATTTAGAAACCTGAGGACAAAGAGAAGATTTCACAATTTTCAGGAAAAAAAAAAACAGAACCCTTTCCAAGAGTTAGAAAGCCATTGATTGGACTTCTCAATAGCAGGAAGCTAGAATGTACTGGTAAAATGCCTTCAAATTGCTGAGAAAAACTGGAAAGCCTACTTCCAAATTAGGATTCTATATACAGCGGAATCATTAATTAAAGGTGAAAGTAGAATAAAGACATTTCAGATATGCAAGGTGTCAAAGATGTTCCTCTTTGTGTATCCTTTCTTATGAAGATATTAAAGGATGTACTCCAACAAAATGAGGGAGTAAAATTTAAAAAGGGAAAGGCATGGAATCCAGGAACAGGAGATTCAATATGGAGAGAGATGAAGGGAATCCCTGGGATGAATCCCTTTACCCCTTTGGATCTCACTGGGGGATTTCAGATTTAAATCCTTAGGTAACAGCTGAATAGCAGATCTAGTGGGCAGCCAATTTAAATTGGAGTAGGCCAGATGGCTCTAGGATAGAAAATCTAATGTGCTTGAGCATGTTGGAACCAGGGCTCAGGAGGGAAAAGAGAAAACGCATTAGGAGCAGATTTTTAGAATTTGGGGAAAACTTAAGTTGGCTTAGTAATAAGTACATACAAAATGAAGCAGATGAAAAAATAAAGACAATTCTTAACTCCAGGGTGAAAAAAATATTATCAAGGGAGAAGAAATTGTAATGTAACTACATGGTTCAGCAGTAAGTAATGTTTACAGAGTTATAATATTAAGTTGACTATTGATCTGATCAAAATACAACTATACTGGGAAATAGGAAGCTGGTAGGGGTGAGGGCTGGAGGGAGGGGGCTAAGCCAAAACTAAATTCTCCTTTTCCATAAAAGAAAGACAACGTAAAAGTCTAAAGCTGAAAAAGTCAAGACGTAGCAATGTAGCCACATTATCTAGAGATGTGTAAGTTTATCTAAATAGCTGATAAATGATAAGCTATGAGAATTGCAAGTAGTTGCTTCTGGAGACTGGAAGGAAGGAAAGTGGAAAAGGCTACTGTTTTTCATACCATGACTTATAGAAGTATGCGACACTTCAAACTATTTGCAGTACAACTTTCATGGTGGTTTCATTCGTTTTTATTAACTAATTTACAATGAATTTTTTAAAGTTAACTGTTTTCAAAAAGAGGCAAGTGATTAGTTCCAACTAGAGACTCTGGGAAAGGCTTCTCCACAGAGGAGCTGAATGAGGGGACTAGTAGGTGGATAAGGTGCAGTAAAGATGCTGCCGCAGGCTGGGCTCATCCCTGCAATCCCAGCACTTTGGGAGGCCAAGGTGGTGGATCACGAGGTCAGGAGATCGAGACCATCCTGACCAACATGGTGAAACCCTGTCTCAACTAAAACTACAAAAATTAGCTGGGTGTGGTGGTGCATGCCTGTAATCCCAGCTACTCAGGAGGCTGAGGCAGGAGAATCGCTTGAACCAGGGAGTAGGAGCTTGCAGTGAGCCAAGATCACGCCACTGTACTCCAGCCTGGTGACAAAGCGAGACTCCATCTAAAAAAAAAAAAAAAAAAATATGCTGCTGCAATATCCTGGGGGAGAAATAACTTGGGCTGAAGAAGAGCAGCTGTGGTGCAGAGGGGAAAGGCAGGCCATGGATAAGGCCCTCAAAGTTTCTACTTTGAGGAGCCAATGAAATCAGCACACTGTTCTCTCCCATTTTTGTTTCCTCTGCTTCAGATTATGGAACGAGCTCTATTCCACATGGACAACTGCTATAAAATTCCCAACATCCGGGGCACTGGGCGGCTGTGCAAAACCAACCTTCCCTCCAACACGGCCTTCCGGGGCTTTGGGGGTCCCCAGGGGATGCTCATTGCCGAGTATTGGATGAGTGAAGTTGCGGTGACCTGTGGGATGCCTGCAGAGGAGGTAAGCGGAGCATTTAGTAGCACAAGTCAGAGTGGTTTGGACTACTTAGGGGGAGAGTGGCTTTGTATCTTAGGCATCTCCCATGGGGGCTGCCCCCACCCCCACCGTTTCTTGCCACCAACAAGGCCTCTGTGTCTCTCTCCTTGGGAAGGTGCGGATGAAAAACCTGTACAAAGAAGGGGACCTGACACACTTCAACCAGAAGCTTGAGGGTTTCACCTTGCCCAGGTGCTGGGAAGAATGCCTAGCAAGCTCTCAGTATCATGCTCGGAAGAGTGAGGTTGACAAGTTCAACAAGTAAGCGCTGGGAGTAGGGGTCCAGTGCTTTCCTGGGTTTCATATCCTACAGCCTTTCTCCTGACCCCAAAATAGGAAGCTAATAATTTAATGGATAACTTATGAGACTGCTGAGTTTGCCAACTCATTCACAGCCGTCTCTTTAAGATCTTATAATGATCTTCAGCCTGGGGCAGGTGGGCTCACAGCCTGCAATCAGTGTCATAGTCTATCAGTTGTGGTTCATCTTTAAGCATTTGTAAACCTTCTGGGCACACCATATTGTAAAGAACACTGGCCCAGGACCAACACATAACAGTTATACACCTGCCTCTGACACCAATCTATAAATATGAATTTTGGAGTCACTCCATCTCCCTGGGCCTCAGTTTCATCATCTGAAAAGTGGACATAATTGGACTGGCTCTGTCCTCCTCACAGAGTTATTCAGACAATTAAATATAAAGCACAGAGAAGGCTTTATTATTGTTGGCAAAGCACAGTGCCTCCTGGAGATAACAGCCCAAGACCACCAAGCCACTCTGACCCAGCACGAGTTGCACTCAGGGAAGAAGAGTGTTGACACTAAAGTCAAGACCGCCTGGAGTGGGCTGTGCACCAGCTGACCGTTCTCATCTTTGTCTACATTATTGGGGCATAGTTCCATTATTACAAGACTATACGGGCAACCCCAAGGATGTCCTGTTTTGGTTTGATCCAAAGATGTTCATGACCTCAACATGGTAGAGAAGTTTCTATAAGAATGTTCCTTTTCTCTAGGGAGAATTGTTGGAAAAAGAGAGGATTGTACATAATTCCCACCAAGTTTGGAATAAGCTTCACACTTCCTTTTCTGAATCAGGTAATTGCTTTATCGAATTGTGTCTATCTCCGCTGGACTGGGACCCCATTTCCCCCTTGTTTACAGCATTGCAAGGGAAATTTCGTTGTCACTGGTGACAGGGCTTACTGAAGGAACTCTTTGCTATTTAAATGAAAGTTGAACTTGCACAGTCCTATTTGTCCAGTAGGTCATGGGCAGTGAGACTCAGAGATCTGGGATCAACCTCTAGTTCTTACCTTTCCTTACTATCGGACTGGTGAGAGCTACTCTATTTTTCTCGTTCTGTTTCTTCACTTACAGGGTGAGGACAGATATTTGAACAAGAGAAACAGAGAGAAACATATGAAAACCTGCTGCAACTACTGATGTGCTATATAATTAAATCATGAGATTCATACTGCCATAATTTTTGTCTGAGATTGACATCCAAAATGCTGCTGGTTCTCTTGTTCCTGGGCTCCATACCTTTGGTCCCAAACTTTATTGAATTGGAATTTACTGACGTTTGTGTCTGGCATCCTTCTGTTTCCCTAGGCAGGAGCCCTGCTTCATGTGTACACAGATGGCTCTGTGCTGCTGACCCATGGAGGGACCGAGATGGGCCAAGGCCTTCATACCAAAATGGTCCAGGTGAGCAGCCCTCTCTAGCACCGTGATGTCTGTTGTTAGGGGAAGTGGTATAAGAAATTGAGCAGTGGGACCTACCAGAGCAGAAGCAGGCCCAGGGTCTGTCCCCAGCCCTGTTGCTTATGTCCGTGTTGCCTCGGGCAAGTCTTTTCCTGCACTTGAACTCAGTTTCCTCAACTGTGCAAAGGAGTTGGCCAGGTGACCTCTGAGGACATTGCTATTACCAACATTCTCAGTGTGTGAGGTGGGCACACTGTGTGTGTAAAGGTTTCCCACATTCCAAAAGACTCCTCGGAGTGGGGTGAGGACAATGAGCTGGATTAGAGTCAGCACATCTGCTTGGCGCATGGAGACTGGCCAGATTGGATCTTGTGAAAAGTGAGTGTTAGTGTAAAAAGGCACTGTCAGTTTATGAATGCTTTTACCCAACCAAACCGCTCCAACAAGTGCTCCTTCAAATTCAGCCAGATGTGAGGACATCCCAGACAATGAGATTAGAGCTTACAAAATTGTTTTCTTGCCTGTAACAGTGAATGTGAATCCTGTCTTGGAGAGAAGGCAGCCAAGCCCCATGATAACCCCTTCCCTAGAGGGCAATGTCTTCTCTTTTCGCAGGTGGCCAGCAGAGCTCTGAAAATCCCCACCTCTAAGATTTATATCAGTGAGACAAGCACTAACACTGTGCCCAACACTTCTCCCACGGCTGCCTCTGTCAGCGCTGACCTCAATGGACAAGCCGTCTACGTAAGGAGCCCGTGGGATCCCGCAGAGCAGAGGGCCAGCCCAGAGCTGTGGGCCTGGAGAGTCTCCCTGGGTGGGAGCTAGAAGGGTTCCTTGCAGGCCTTTGGCTCTGGCCAGGCCTCTGGCTCCCTTATCCAGGAGGATGCTATTTCTCCAAACCTCAAGCTAAAAGAGAGGCCCAAGAATCATAATCACTGCCCTCAAAGCTGGGAAGGATGAGTGCAGGATGGGGAAGTGAGGATGCTGAGGGAAAGCAGAGGCTTCTGGAAATACTCCCTGGTGCTGGAGCTGGCAATAGGACAATGGGCTGAAGCTGAAGTTCGATTATAGAGTCAGGTTGGCCACACTTGCTCCTCTCCCATATGGGGGATGTAATCAAACAAGGAGTTTGAGGGAAGAAGGCACCTCCCTTGGGATCCCTCAAACATTGCACCCTCTGTCAGTCTAAGAATTGGGTCAGGAGGTGCTCTCCAAGCAGGGACTAGTGGTGGCCCTATTGGCCAGGTCCTGTGGATTCTACCCTGGGCCTCGGTCATTCTGGAGTGGGTGGCCAGGCTGTTTGAGTGGCACCCTGGGCACAGCATTGCTTGGAGATGGCCTTGCTGGGGCCCTCGGGTTTTGCCTGGGCTATTGAATGCAGAGGAGTGATGTGTCTGCGGTGCGGGGGGTGTTTACTTTAGGCGGCTTGTCAGACCATCTTGAAAAGGCTGGAACCCTACAAGAAGAAGAATCCCAGTGGCTCCTGGGAAGACTGGGTGAGTCTGAGCGGATCCAAGTCACTTTTGCAGAGGAGAGAGAAATCGACAGCAGGGCCTCCGTTCCGACCCCGAACAAGCAATAGGAGACAATATTCTAGTCAGAACAGCAGAGAGAAGTTGAGGTGGTTTGTGTGATTTTACAGGACGAATAAATGCTCATCCTGGCTGGGTCGCTTTCTCTGTAGCTTTCATCACTGAGGGAGGTCGTTTGAGGGAAGGTTTTGATCTTGACAGCCTTGTGGGAATCAGGGTTTTTGCTGCCTGAGCCTGAGAGGATGGGTGCCTGCTGAATGTGCCTCATCAGATTGTACTGACTCACCGGGTCTGCTCCCACACCATCTTTGTCCCAAATGAGCCTGGTTTTCCTCAAATCTCCATCTCTTGAGTTTGGGTCTACTGAGATTCCCTCTGTGAGAGCGTGGGGAGAAAACATCACCCAAGGACTTCTATCATTCCTGTGATTTGGGGAATGACAGAACAAGTACTTAAGATAAGAATAAGCCCAATTCTCTGACTTCTAGATCAGTGGCCTGAATGTCAGAAATCTCAGAGGGAAGCTGCAAGGGAGTCTCTCGCAGGTGGGAGGCTGTGGCTCCTCCAGTAGGGGGAAATATCAATGGCAGCTCTGCATCCTTCCCCAGTATTGGAGTGGTAGAACTGGGCAGAAGACTAGCACATCAAATGTGACCCCACGTAAACCAGCTCAGTACAAATCTTCCTCAATAGATTTAAAGAAAACATGCCATTTTTCTCAGACTCACTCATCTTACTATGCCTTCTTTGACCTCTCCATACCACGTGTACCAAGCACATGAATGTAGCTTGACTTTGGTAGTTGGGTGAAAGCTTAGTGGCAGGTCAGGGTTCCTGAAAACCCCACTTCTCCTGCCTGATGGCCATCTCCTCTCCTCAGGTCACAGCTGCCTACACGGACACAGTGAGCTTGTCTGCCACTGGGTTTTATAGGTAAGTATGGTGCTGTCCTTGCCCAGCTCATAGTGCGATGTCATCTTAACCTCACTGGTCCTCTCCAGCACCAAATCCTGCCAGGCTGTGGTCAGGAGAGAGCAGCTCCACTGAAACTCTTATCTCTTCAATAGACTTCCACTAATTTCAGTCTAAAGATGCTCTAAAATATGTGGAATAGCCACGCTGTGTGCCAAGGGGTAAAAGTACCAGCTGTGTGTCAGAAGACCTGACTTGTAGTTCTGATCTCAGGCTGCACCATTTTGCCTGAGGAAGTCAGTGGTCCTGCTGAACCTGTTCCCCTGTTTCCTTACGGATGACATTTTAGGGCCAGTCACCTAACCATTCCTCCCTCAGTGTTCTGCAGAAACCAGGGTGTGTAGTGTTATGAGTTAGGTATTGCTGTTAGCTACGCGTGCTTCTTTGTACTGTGTGTGGGATTTTTTTATAGAATGAGAGGAGGATTTAGCACATGGTCTTGTTACAAAATGCAGAGTACAGTGGAACCTTATTAATACAGGGAGATTTTCAAGAGACCGTATGTCTTCTGCAACTTTAAATTTAGTAGCAGCATAAATAGCTAGAGACCCTGCCCAACTGACTTAGCAGCTGTAAAAAGATATGATCATATATACTGTCAGTCATCATGTTTTAGCCATCTCTGGGAATTTTAACTAGGACCTTTTCTTTCACAGATATTTGGAATATTTTCTTTCAATATATTTGGAAAATAATTCAATGTTTCTTTAAAATATCTTGTCTGAATGTATGACTATATAGATGCATAAATATATATGTGTAAACATTTCTTTATATGAAACATTTTCATGTGTATATGAGTATATATGAGAGCATATATATGTTAGGCATATATATGTTTATACACATATAAGGCATAGATATGTATAAACATATATACACAAAAAACATTTATATGCCCTATATATGAACATATATATGGCTAATACATGTGTATAGATATTACACTGAATATACATGCCTTATGCATACATGTATATAGGCATATACATGTATATAGGCATATACATGTATGCATAAGGCATATATATGTATAAACATATATTCACACACAAAACATTTCTATGCCATGTATATGAACATATATATGGCTAATATATGTGTATAGATATTACACTGAATATATATGTATTATACATATACGTATGAGGCATATATATGTATTATACATATATGTATGAGACATATGTATGTATAAACATATATACACAAAAAACATTTCTATGCCATATATATGAACTATATATGGTTCATATATATGTGTATAGATATTACATTGAATATATATGTATAAAGCATATAAAAGTATTATACATATATATGTATAAGGCATATATATGTATAAACATGTATATATATGTGTGGTGAATAAATGTTTTGCCAATACTTTCTAGGTAATTAATATCTGACCTACACATACATAAACTCATTTTCTCATAAATTCCTATTACTTTTCTGGAGTTCATGAAACTAAGGTTTTATAAAGGTGAAACCAGATGAGCATGGTGAAAGTTGGAAAAACAGAGGTCAAAGGAATTGGTGGTGTTTTTTTCTGGGAGTTGGTGGTGTTTTTTTCTGGGAGAAGCCTTTTCCCTCAGCCCCATATGGGTTTTGTTTTTGTGCAGATGTGGTCATATCAGCTCATGTTATCCCTGTGTAGTGTATAGAATAACAGAGTCAGTGTACTGTAAACTCTAGGTGTGTGAATACACATGCGCAAACGCATAGATATACACATATATTTATATGACTCAGGCAAAAGTGGAATTGTATAAGGTACTCCAGATTGAAAATTTTAAAAATGTATAAGGAAGCATTTGTTTCTATTAGTGTCATTTCCCTCAAATCATTTGTTGAACTTTCAAAGGGACCAGCAGGTGGGGAGTGGCTGCTTAAAGATGCACCCAGGTTAGCATGAGATACTGATCTTATTAACTTTCATCTTGAGAAGGTAAACAGGTGAACTTGTGTGAACAGTCTAAGAGCCACCACAGGCAGAACTTTCTGTCCTGAAGACCTTGGATTTTAATTCAGTGCATCCTTTGGAGTGTGACTTTCACATCTTTCGTGAGCCCAGATGGATCTGTTACCTCTGTTTCTACTGTGTAGAAGCCAGCATGGTACCAAACACTGCTAGGCTGTACAGAAAGAGTACAGAAGGGTTACTGGCAAACTAGAGGAGAGCCCAGAGGCAAAATGTTCTGGAATACCTGGGTTTCATTAACAGGTTCAAACTGTTCAAAACACATAGACTTTTTTGGAGAACAGCTGAATGCAAAAACTTGTGGGGTTGAAAGATGTTGTGCGTCAAGCTGTGCGTGCATAGGGAAGGGGGTGTGTTCATGTTAATACACGCGCAGTATCTTCTCTTTCCTTTCCCAGAACACCCAATCTGGGCTACAGCTTTGAGACTAACTCGGGGAACCCTTTCCACTACTTCAGCTATGGGGTGGCTTGCTCTGAAGTAGAAATTGACTGCTTAACAGGAGATCATAAGGTAAGAAGTTGCAAAACTTTAGTACTTAGTGGGAAAGAAAGAGAAACAACTGAGTGGTAATACCAAAAGTTGATAGAGACAAACTTTCTGGTTGGAAAAATAATGCCTTACATTAAGGATAGGCAAACATCCTATGAAGAGCCACAGAATAAGTATTTTAGGCTTTGTGGGCCATGCAGTCTCTGCCTGAGCTACTGAACTCTACCATTGAAGTGTGATAGCAGTCACAGACAGCTTGTAAACCGGTAAGTGTGACTCTGTTCCAATAAAATATGATTTATAGACACTGAAATTTGAATTTGAATTGAATCTCATACAATTTTTACTTGTCACAAAGTATTCTTCTTTTTATTTTTCCCAGCTATTTAATAATGTAATTATTATTACAACAGACCCCACAAAAACAGGGGCGAGTTGGATTCAGCCCATGGAACGTAGTATATTGACTCTTTTGTACATGATCTACCCAGACTCAGATTCAAAGCCCCAGGCTGGGACCCTATCTGACTACTCACGTATGAATGTGTGTTATTTCCAGTTACTGAGAGATCATTGCTGCTCTCCATCCCCTACTCCTACAAACTCAGACTCCAGCAGTGATGGTGGCAGCAGAGATTTGGTGGGAATATTAACACTTCTGCCTGAGTACACCCAGGGCTTTCTGCTTGGGAACATACCCTTTGGTTGGCATTTGTAGTCTGAGGGTCACCATGAGTCATCTATCATATTCCAAACATCTTTTTCTTCTCTAACTGCTTGTAATTTTGCTGTCTCCTCTAGAACCTCCGCACAGATATTGTCATGGATGTTGGCTCCAGTCTAAACCCTGCCATTGATATTGGACAGGTGAGGCTTGGGAGACCAGGATGGTGACAGACTTGGCCACCGATGTGCTCCACTCCCCTCCTGGGGCCACCAGTCACAGCATGTTGTCCAAGGTTGTCTTCAAACAGGCTGAAACATGGAACCTAGGGAGTTCTCCACAAAGTAGAATTTAGATTGGTGATAGCCCAACCAACTCTCAAGACAGAAAGCAAATTAATATAGATTAACTTACTCACAACTCAAAGAACAAGATGAGGAATGGGGAACATGGCGTGCACATGTGGACATGCACACACACCCAATTTGAGTGCAAGCACAGTGTAGAATGGAGATTGAGTTTGGGATCAATGCCCAGACAGCGGGTCTGAGGTCAGAGGAGTTTTCTGTCTTCTCATTCCTCCTCCACCCAGAACAGCTTTTGTACCCCAGGAAGCAGATGCTGCCAAACATGGAGTGGTGGAAGGCCCCTGGGAGCAAAACACAAAGGCTTAAGCAGAAGTAGTAAAGGGAGGTCCCAGAGAAAATCGCTTTAGGAGAATATGGGATTACTGAGAAGAATAGGTGATATAGGGCTGGAACCTGTGGCTCACACCTGTAATCCCAGCACTTTGGGAGGCCAAGGCAGGCAGGTCACCTGAGGTCAGGAGTTCGAGACCAGCTTGGACAACATGGCAAAACTCCATCTCTACTTAAAAATACAAAAATTAGCTGGGTGTGGTGGCACCTATAATCCGAGCTACTCAGGAGGCTGAGATAGGAGAATCCCTTGAACCTGGGAGGCAGAGGTTGCAGTGAGCCGATATCACACCACTGCACTCCAGCCTGGGCGATAGAGCAGAACTCAGTCTCAAAAAAATAAAATAAAATAAAGAATAGGTGAAATAGGAGAAAACAGAAGAGGAATCAAGAATTCAAGACTGAGCATCTGGTAGAAAATACAAATTGTACTTCTCAAAAATGGACAACTACTGAGTATATGAAAATCTGGCCATTAGTCAATCTGTTCATTAAATCATTGAACAACCATTTATGGTCCCCTACTGTGGCCAGGCACCAAGCCAGGCACTGTAGACCCAAAGGTGATTGCCAGCCGGTTTCTTTTCTGAATGCTCATTGAGGTACGGTAGTGCCCCATGTCACGCTTCTGAGCAGGGGGCTGAGAGAGCAGATGTGTGGGCCTGTCTAGCATGGCAGTTACCCTAGGAGAGACCTGTAAGCTGAACTGCAGTGAGGGCACTTTCTCCCAGAGAAAATGGTAGGATGGGCATTCACAAAGGCTGGAGGTAAGTCTCAGAGAATCTACTTCGAATAAATCCTCCTGTGAGCTTGCTTCTCAGCTTTGGCTCACCATTTCCCCAGCAGCAACATGGAAGGAACATCTCCATCTGCACTGCGGCAGGTGTTAATGGGAAACACGCCCACCGGCATGACCTTCCTAGAATCACTGACCTTCCGTGTTAATGTCTTTGCTCTGTCTGAGCCAAAGCCTGGCAGAAGTCCAGATAGGTTATCCCAGGGCTGGGGCAGGAGCCAGGTAAGCAATAGAGGGTTGTTTTAGCTACATTCCAGGCCGCACTGCAGGTGGGGCTTTGTGTCCATTGTGGCAAATGGTATCTGTCCTCAGGGAAGAGGGAGGCAAGCTAACTGTGCTCTCCATCCATCCTGTAGGTGGAAGGGGCATTTGTCCAGGGCCTTGGCCTTTTCACCCTAGAGGAGCTACACTACTCCCCCGAGGGGAGCCTGCACACCCGCGGCCCTAGCACTTACAAGATCCCGGCATTTGGCAGCATCCCCATTGAGTTCAGGGTGTCCCTGCTCCGAGACTGCCCCAACAAGAAGGCCATCTATGCATCAAAGGTACCATTGCTCTGGCTCTGGCTCTGTGCCCACGCCCAGAAATTTTGCTCCAATGGGTGTGTCTTAGGGCCCTGGAACCTGCATTTTCAGCCAGTATCTTTAGTGATTCTGATATAGGTGGTCTCTGATCTGTACTTTGGGGGGAGAAAAACCAACCTATGCTAGAAAGTGTTTTAATTCTTGTTTGTTCTTATGCCCATAATTCCTGCAAATGCTGTAATATGACTATGGTGCCTGTAAATGTTGGCTGCAGAGTTGCAGGTCCTCGGCTAGTGACTGAGGAAAAGGTTAAAACTCACGTCAGATTTTGTGGTCTGTAAAATACAATTACTGAGTATAACTTTAAATGGTACATTATATTTGCATGATGTCGTCAGAGAAAATTACACAATGAGTGTTCAAAGAAATATGTCCATGAGGTCTGGTCATGTACTAGCTTGACTGTTCTTAGCCCCTGATCAGTTTTGACTGTGCCTTCCCGCTGTATTTGGTGTGGCCCCCATCAGTGCTTTCCTGGCGTCACCAGCCCTCCTCGTGCAGAGTTTGCTGCCTGGCCTCCTAGGTCCACTTGATGGTGTGGAGGCGGGACCACCTGCCTGAGCCCCTGCCCTGTGCCCTGTCTGTGTTCAGGCTGTTGGAGAGCCACCCCTCTTCCTGGCTGCTTCTATCTTCTTTGCCATCAAAGATGCCATCCGTGCAGCTCGAGCTCAGCACACAGGTAATAACGTGAAGGAACTCTTCCGGCTAGACAGCCCTGCCACCCCGGAGAAGATCCGCAACGCCTGCGTGGACAGGTTCACCACCCTGGTATGATGCCCTTCAAGCGTCCACTCAGTCCAGGGGAGGCCAGGGATAGGCTGGCAAACTGCAGGGAACGTTCTGCACAGAGGAGAGGTATTGGGCTCTCTCTTAACCAGGCAGCCTTGCATCAATGGCCACCCTTCATTGTGCGCGGTATGCAGCACACACACTCGAACTTGCAAGAGAAGAACGAGAAACCTCCTTAAAGCTGTAGCTTGTAGCTGGGCCTCTTTAGAGATGGGAGGAATGTGTGGTGCACAGTCATAACTCACAGATTTTATTATTTTCCATCTAGACAAGGGTGATGGATGAAACTCCAGAGAGCCTAATCTTTAGTATCAGTCAGTCGCCAGCATTTTTGCTTTAATTTATGTTAAGGACTCTGTATGAATATTGGGGGGATAGAGGGAAAAAGAGGAAATAATTAATTAGATCAACCATATTTGTCCTGTGATTATCATGTACCATTCTGATACTGGGGACGCATAGGTGTCCTTGAAGACTTTGCAACCTTGGGAAACCAGATGATTCCATTATAGTGTGATTGATTACTGCCTTGAAGGTGTATGTGGCAGGAAGTAGTAGAAGAATTCCGTAGTCATTGGAATCACTTTAACAAGCACCTATGTGATACTTGTCGTTGGCAATGCCTAACAAAAGAAGACTTTGCTAGGATGGCTGCTTCCACCGTAAGGATCTCAGAACCAGCCCAGCCTCTGAATGGTGCTGGAGTGGGCTCTGCACTGGAGTGGCTTTAATTGCCTTCGCAACTGCAACCTGTGTGGAGTTAGCAGGACTGGGTTGTTCCTGATACTCAGGTTGGGCTTTCTCTTTTTAAAATTCAATAAGCCTTTTGGATTTAGAGGTCAAGTGGGTACACGTGGTCCCAAGTGGGGAGGGCACAGGAGAGCCCCAGGGGCAGACAAATCTGCCATCCCCAGACCTCAACACAGCGGGTGAAGGAGGCATGTGGGTCCCCATTCAGGTCTTCCTTGGGTCTACCAAGAGCTTTAGCTATGGAGTGAGAACTACACAGACCGTGTGGCACACCCAGGCAGTGAAGATGCCCACAGCTGTGCAGCAACCTACCCACAGCCCAGAACCTTCCCACTATGGTTCCCAATGCTGACAATCACCCAAACCCATTTCCCTGAGAGGAGTGGGCTGCCAGTAAGCTCCCACAGGTTGCAAGGTGAGCTCTTTGCAAACAGTCTGATGCAGAACTCAGTCATTTTAGTAAGCTCTCCATGGCCCCAGACCTGAAACAAAGATTCGTTTCTATGTTACAACATACCAGCCATTTAAAAATTCTTGCCATGGATTTGCATGAGCAGCTGATTCTATGAACTTTTTAAGGACCGTGAGTTTCAAAAGTGATCGCATCTGTATTGTTTATCACCATATCTCCAAAGCCTAATAGAATGCCTGCCACATGGAAAGTACTCAATGAAAATAAATGAATGGCTTAGGAAATTAAGGAGTCCTGCCCTGGGGCATTCTCAACAGCTGGGCCTGCCGAGTGGTGCTTGGCCTTGGAATGGTGGTTGGCAGTGGTGGGAGGTGAGGTATGCAAGAGGGTGGGAGGAGCATGATCAGCAGACCCTGGCAATGAGAACACTATCATTCCTTCCTAGTGTGTCACTGGTGTACCAGAAAACTGCAAACCCTGGTCTGTGAGGGTCTGAAGAGAGAGTCCTCAGCAGAGTCTTCCTGTGCTGCATTTGGGCTTCCATGGAGCAGGAGGAACATACCACAGAACATGGATCTATTAAAGTCACAGAAGGACAGTGACTAATTCTGTGACTTTTCATCCTAATTCATCAGGATGGCATTTGGAAGACAAGTGAATGCATTGGGAGATTTTGATTAAAATGTAATTTATAAACAGAATGATAAGCAAATTCAAAACTGTTAGGCCTAAATGGTGAATATGCAATTAGGGTCATTTTCTGTCTGTTCTAATCATGTATTTGGAATAGGGTCAGGAAGGGTTTGTGCTATTCCCCACTTACTGGACAGCCTGTATAACCTCAAGTTCTGATGGTGTCTGTCCTTCAAAAGGGACTCCCACAAACCTCTAGAAGCTTAAACCAAAGTTACTTTAAATTGTGTGCCTTCCTCTGAAAGCCTTGCCTTCAAACCAATGAACAGCAAAGCATAACCTTGAATCTATACTCAAATTTTGCAGTGAGGCAGTGGGGTAAGATTAAATCCTCTAACCATCTTTGAATCATTGGAAAGAATAAAGAATGAAACAAATTCAAGGTTAATTGAATCTAATTTTGTTAAGCTGCATAAAGCAAGATTACTCTATAACACAAAAATCCAACCAACTCAATTATTGAGCACCTACAATGTTCTAGATTTCTTTCCCTTCCTCTTTGAGTATTTACAAAAAAAGATTATGTTTAATCTTTACATTTGAAGCCAAAGTAATTTCCACCTAGAAATGATGCTAGCAGGCCTGGCATGGTGGCTCACGCCTGTAATCCCAGCACTTTGGGAGGCTGAGGCAGGAGAATTGCTTGAGCCCAGCAGTTTGAGACCAGCCTGGGCAACATAGAGAGCTCCTGTCGTCTGGATAGTGCATGCCTGTAGTCTCAACTACTAGAAAGGCTGAGGTGGAGAGATCATTTGAGTTCAGGAGGTTGAGACTGCAGTGAGCTGTGACTGCACCCTTGCACTCCTGCCTGAGCTACTGAGCAAGATCTTGTCTCTGAAGAAAAAAAAAAAAGAAATAAAAATGCTGCTGTCAAAATCAAGCTCAACCAGAGGTAGAAGAGCCAAGAAGCCTGAGTTCTCATCCCAGCTCTGTCTCTTCTGTCTCTATCTTTGTGATCTTGGACTGTCATTTCCCCTTCCTGTGATCCATTTTACTGCAAACATAAAGGCTGCAGTAAAGGGTTGTCTCCTGTCTTCTGCTTTAAAAGTCTATAAATATATGACCTGAAAACTCCAGTTACGTAAGGGATCTGCAGCTATCTAAGGCTTGGTTTTCTTACTGTCATATGATACCTGGGCCTGATGAACTCCGCTTAGATCCCCTCAAGTTTCTGTGGTTGGTAAAGAGAACAAGGGAAGAACAAACATCCCTTTTATTGCTCCAAGAGGTGATTTAATCCCTACATGGTGCTGGGTGGACAGTGTGTCACTGTCGCATGCCTTCACTCTATAAATCCAACCTTCTGCCAGACAGAATCTGTGGTTCTGTCCATGGAGGGAGGATAATGGAAATGATATAGTTGGACTGGTGCTTGATGTCACTAATAAATGAAACTGTCAGCTTGTTGGCGTGTGAAAAATGCTTATTAATTATCATCACACCAAATCCTAGTATCTTCAGTATCTTGGCCAGCCTTCATTTCTTGAAAACACACACACACACACACACACACACACACACACACTTTCTTACAAAATTCCCTTCTCCAGAGTATCCTAGATATGCTGGCTGTTTTACAGCATGGTCAAGGTAGAAGAGCTTTAAAAACTAAACGAGTATATACACTGAGATCCAGGTCCATTTCAGATGATTTTCTGGGGTGTTCTGGGGCAGGGCCTGAGACCTGTCACTTGTTATTAGTGAAGCTCTTGGGGCAAAGCAGTGACACAGAATTCCCTTCTGTGCTCAGGTACCAAGGTGAGAGTAGACTGGTCATGAAAATCCAACAAGCAAGTGCTCTGTCAATTAGAAATCACTGTGCTATTCAGTGGCATCGTCCACCTCAGACACTTTGCCTTGCCCTGTTGTCTTAAAGTGCCTCCAGCCCATGCAGTGAGATGCCTAGGTCTTTTTGGGGTTGCACAAGGAATGCAGTCTACACTGCCTGCAGTATGGCCTGAAGCCTGCAGAGGGCAGTAGAAGATTAAACAAGGGGCAATAGTGTCCGGATGGCCCAGCTGCGTTGCATCTGTTAACCACTAGGTACTGACTTAGGATCTCTGCGTAGACCAGATGTCCTTGGAGGCTTCCCCAAGAGCTGGAATCACAGCTGACTTAGGGTTTTAGATTGACAAAAGTCTCAAAGGAGCTCGCCAAAGACATGGGTCAGCCATGGGAGTCTGAGCTCCAGATGAATGGCTAGCAAGGGGAAGGCAATTCTTATTTTCAGAGTATCTGCAACTTGCCAGGTGACAAGGTGAATGCTTTACCTATAGGGTCTCATTTAATTCCTCCCAGTGGCTTTATGAGGTAGGTCCTTTAACCCCTGTAACCACGTGAAGGAGAAGCCCTACCCCTGGTCATGGTGAGGGCTTACTCAGAGACATTTACTCCTAAGTGCCCACCACAACCAGTTGGCAGCTCCCTTATAGGCCAGGAAACCTGGCATGTACCGGGAGTCACCTGCCTGTCAGAGTGGACAGTTGCTAGCCAGGCTCATGGAGGTGGGCGGAGGCACCAGAATGCCCACCGTTTCATTTATAGGCAGGGTGAGGATTCTCCTGCTGGCATGGCCAAGCCACTGAGCTGTCATCAGGGCAGCTGATGAGACTCCCCTAGTCCAGAGCTAGGTGGCTGGGAGGCCGGGACGGGAGGGCAGGACGGAGGTTGTAGGAGGAACTCTGGGCAAGGGATAAGGACAGAAATAGTCTTAGCTGATTGATTTATGACTGAGAACATCCCCGAGCCCATGATATTTTTGTCTTTTGCGGAGGGGGAGCCTGGAAAGCTGTCCATTCGCTGCCTATTTTGGATCGTGGGACAAGACGATTCCTGACAGGCAGCTTCCTTCAACTGGTGAAGCATGAGGTCACCCTGGTGCCCCCCAGGCCCAGGAGCCTGCCCTTTTGTTTTGCCTCTATCCTGAAGTGGGGGAGTATGTGTTCCTAAGGCAGGAGACAGATCCTGTGACAGTCTTGTCACCTGAAACAAATCAACCCATTGATGGAAGTGGAAATGTCAGGCACTGCCCAAAGGGATTCTGGCGTCATCTCTGTCCTTGAACTGCCCTGCTCTGGCTTGCACAACCCCCAGGCCAACTCAGCATCCCAGAGCTGAAAAGACCATCAAGCTCAATCTCTGTATTTTAGAGAGGAGAAACATCAGCCCACAAGAGAAAGTGACTTGCTCAGGGTCCTATGGCCCTGTGGTGGCACAGTCAGACTGACAGCAAGGCTGCCTGGTTTCTGGTCCAGGCTTTTTTTTTTTTGAGACGGAGTCTCGCTCTGTCGCCCAGGCTGGAGTGCAGTGGCCAGATCTCAGCTCACTGCAAGCTCCGCCTCCCGGGTTCAGGCCATTCTCCTGCCTCAGCCTCCGGAGTAGCTGGGACCACAGGAGCCCGCCACCACGCCTGGCTAGTTTTTTGTTGTTGTTGTTGTTTTAGTAGAGACGGGGTTTCACCGGGTTAGCCAGGATGGTCTCGATATCCTGACCTCGTGATCCGCCCGTCTCGGCCTCCCAGAGTGCTGGGATTACAGGCTTGAGCCACCGCGCCCGGCCTGGTCCAGGCTTTTTAAAGCTTAACCATACACCGTTAGTCAACTGAGCCTTCTATGAGGAAACCTGTGGATCAGGGAGCCAGGGTATATGATAGAAATCTAGTTATACTGGATGGGAAGAAGACAGAGAGAGCGAGCTTGAGGCCCAAGATAAACACTGTGGCAAGGAGGGTAATATGCCCGTATGCCTATATATGCCTATCTGCCTGTGCTTCTGTGACAGCCTGCTAAAATGGGATTCTTTCCTCAGTCCCACAGATGGGAAACAAAACAATGAGTGTAAAAACATCCCCTCATTTCAAAGAGAGATGCTGAATCTAAATCATCTATGCAAGACTTGTGGAGAGATGGCTGGACACTAATTTTGCCACCATTAACTCATCATCTACCTCAAGAGTTTAAAAGATTGAAGTACAGAATTTGAGAGATTGGGAGGAGAGGTCTTCTTCGGAGATAGCAAGCCTGGCATTCTGCCTGCCAAACAGGAAAGTGTGTGTGTGTGTGTGTGTGTGTGTGTGTGTGTGTGTGTGTGTGCAAGAAAAAGGGGGTCTCATGGTAAATGAGATCTGCTTGAGAAGCTGTGGTTGGATTAGACTGAGGCATTAAGGCAGTGAGAGGAAGGGGATGAGAGCCACAGGGAAACGATACCAGTGTGGCCACACTGGAGGAAGCCATCACCCAGGAGGACTTCCTGGAGGGTGTCATGGAACCCCAACAAACAGCGGACCATCTGATGCCTCAGGATCAAAATAGCCTTAGGCTGGCTCATTCCAGTGTGGCCCATGAGGAGTGCCCACACATCCTTGCCCTGGCTCCTTTGTTCCAGTTTAAGTTTCCCCCTCTCCCCATACCTTTCAGCTGGGAAGAAGGTGAGCACCCAAGAGTGAGACCAAGGGTCCCTTTTCTTTGAGCCCTGAGTGTTAAGGGGAGGGAGCTTAGGAATGGATCCACAGGCTGCTCACATTGTACTGATGTACCCGTGCATCAGCCCTGGGAGCATAGAGTCTGAGTGGCATGTCATTTGCTCCCCTCTTCCTATCTTTCTGTCTCCATCACATCCTAGCAGATCCCATCCCCTGTTCAGCCAATTGTCCTTCTCTGTGGGCCGACAACAAATGTCATTCTGGTCCATGCATGTGCTCTCTGTTCTTCCTCTCACTAGATGGAGTATTCCCAGGGGTCCTCGTGGTTGCTGACATTCTTGTGGGGCACTCACTACCTTTCCTTGCTTCCCACCAAGGCTAGACTGAGCACCTGCCCCAGGGTGGTGACACACAGCATGCCTCTGCCCACTCTTGGGTGTTAGGAGCTGAGCATGAAAGCACGCGTGGACTGCTCAAGCTCCTCTGCTTCTCCTCTGCTTCCCTCTTCTCTCTTGGGCAGGTTGCTTAGCTCCTCTGACCTCAATCTTTTCATCTGTAAAATAGGTGTGGATAATCATATCCACCTCACTGGGCTGTTGTGAAGATTGAAAGAATTAGTGGGGTTAAAAAGCACTTTGTGGAGTACAGAGTTGTCATTTCCAGGCCTTTGGCCATGCCTTAAAAGGGGAAGAGCACTGGGAAATCATGAGTAAGCTTTCCAAAACTTGGATGGAAGGGAAGATGCAGGAATGCATCTCGACCATAATGAGGTGTAGGGTGATGGGTACATGGATTAGCTGTGATCTTAGGCCAGGTAAGAGAAGCTCACCTGCTCCTTTTGGCACAAATGATTGATTAGCATGTCTCAGCTTCTCACATGAATGTGATTTTCCCAGCACACTGGGCTGGGTAGGAGGGCCAGCTCTCAGCTCCCTATAGCTGACTAAGTGGCACAGGTGAGA